TCCATAAAATTTTGCAATGGATGCGGACCATGTTGTACATTTCATGAGGAGCAGTGGTAAACGGCCAGGTACGATGCTATGTGAATGGACATATCGCGGTCTTTAAAAGTCTCATAATTAGAAACTTTTTTAAAACCTAAGTATACTCCTTCCTTAAGTATAAAATATAAAGAAGACGTGATTCTCTATTGATTGACTAAAAGAAAGCATATTTTTGTTTGTGGTTTCTATAAAATATATTTGAATTTCCAAGACAATCAAAAATCAATGGGAAAAATGCATGCTACTTAAGTAGTCATTTTTTCCCAAGTACGATTTCTACAGGAGATTGAAAAGAACTGCATTTAAAAGCCGATATACTGCCGAGTCCGAAATGTTATAAGAGTATGCCTAAAGATAATTAGTATCACAACCGCGACCAAGTAATCCTTCCTAATCGAAAACACATTTCAGAATTTCAGCCAACATTTCATGAGATACGTCACGCACTGTACATCTACCGCATTCTCTCCTACCTAAACACACTTGAGCCCACTGTCAAGTGAGAGAAAGAGAGACTGAAGACGAGATCCAGCTCGTCCGCGCGTGCCACACACATACACCCAGATCGCGCACGCTGCACCAGGATTTCACCAAAACAACAAGTGGGTGGTGGCTCTGATCCCAACTGAGTTGGAGTGCCATAAAGGCCACACTAAGGAGGAGCCACTGCAGTCTGAATCTCCGTCCTGAAAAGAGAGCCGGGTTATCTCGTCAGTTGGCAGCCTCCACGCCGCCAGTTACACAGTGCGGCCCAAACATGGTTGTGTACAGGGAAGGATAAACAGCAATCGGCCTTGGGCCAACGTTGACTACCAGGCTACCGTTCATGTTTGGGCTCTGTGCTTATGCCCAGACCCTCTTCCTCCCTCCCCTCCTCCCACCCAGTAATATCATGCCCACGTGTTTAGTCCCAGCTTCGAAAAGTCTGCCAATGACCGCATTAGCGACGCAAGTGAAGGCGAGAACTTTGACGTCGACGGCAGCGTGGCTGCACGATTCCGTCGATACCATCAGCAATCCACTGTGTTTTGTCCAAGCCATCATCACGTTCTGCCAGAGATACCGTCAGTACTCTTTAGGATTGTTTTTACCATCTGTTGTTGTTTTTGTTTTTGTTGTCTCCTCTTCTGAGCGTATGCTTCACAGCCTGAACACGGAACCCGCAACCGTCTCACTTCTCTAGCGGGCCGTGTGGCCAGCCGAAACTTGCGTATAAACTAACAAAACTTCGGCGTTTATACAACCTTCACGTTGTCGACGAAGTGACCGTTTCGAGAGCAAGACAGTCCTAGTTGTTTTGAGTGAATAAAATAATATTGACGAGTATCAAATTCTTCCCCAACTGAAACTTATTATGAGATACTTGGGTCTAGGCATCTTGTTAGCAACAGCGCTTCGGCCAGACTGTCAGTTGATGACACACTTTCGGCTAATTCGCAGGCCTAAAAGGGGGGGGGGGGGCGAAGCTCTTTCGAGCCAGCCAAAACATGGCCACAATTAGCATGTCGGCATAATCTAACCGCATATTCATACAGGTAATGCAAATCAGATTGAACATGGGCCAGTTCTTCATCTCGGGGGAGAAAAAGTGACTGTCTGGACTAATTCTTCCTGTGTGCGCGTACCTATGTCTTAATAAGGCGTCCGGCCTGACTGAGCATTCTTATGCGGTTTGCAACTCATCTGACTGATGGCTTGGTAGAGATTTCCTTCCACTCTTGTGAGATAGATAAATTCCCTAAAGAAGCCCTTACACGAGGAATATTGCCAAAGAAGATAAGGGCGACCGCATTGATGATTTCTGACCTATTTGTCGTCGCCATCCGACGAAAGCCCAACCCCAAGTCGGAATACCTGAGGTTCGAACACGGAACCATAATGTGCCGGGTGTTCTGGCAGCTGACCCCCCGGGCTCACATCATGTCGACTGCAGTCGTGAGTATTCAGTTCCCTAAGTGGTGTTCGCCTAACTGCCCTGGTCGCGAAGCACAACATCCCTGGATGACTGACTGTTTTCCGCTGCGACCACCGTAGAGGACGCTAGACTGGAGTTTCAGAGTCAAACAAAACGCCTGCGTACCATTCTGAAATCAGGCTGTATCGAAAACCGCTGCGTCCAGTAGAACCACACGTACTCGTAAAAGCAACGGTCAGAGCGTAAACTCTTGTGGGCTGGGTGACAAACTGAATCGGGGCTCAAATTCCCCCCTTCCTTATCCTGGGTTCGCGTACGGTCGTAAAGTTCATTGCACTTCGCCTTGTACATCGGTAATGACTGAAAACCGCCTGCTGTTCCTCGTTATGTTGGCGTTCGCGATAGCTATAGACAGCAGCTCCATGGCAAAATGAAACGTCTGGATTAAGCCGCGTGACCGTGCCAGATAGGTGCTCGCCACTTCAACGTTGCCTCAAAGGCTTTGTGCACGTGTCCCTACCAACCCCCCCCGCCCTATGGTGGTGCTCGAAAGACCGACACACTTCCCCTTATTGTGTTCCTGCGACCCCACGACTCCATTGCAAGAAAATGTGCCCATCAGCGAGTGCCCTCCGCGTCTGACGGAGTCAATGTTTGGTGCTAAGTCTATAATTTTAAACACCCTCCTGATGAGGTGAGAGACCCACGAGAAGTTGCTCACTAATACATGCGTTAGGATTGGGATGGACCCCGACGGGTCTTTAATAAAAAAATTAAATTAAATTCCTAGCCTGAAAATTTATGCAACTGCCGACCTGGCAGGCTTGAAAATGAGACAGAAGTGGACACTGAAAAGTCCAACCGTCCACATAAGCATTCACTCCAAACGTGAGAGGTGGTGCCCTATATCCTTTGCATGACTTGCCCACGAGTGCTTCTTATGAATTTTTCCAGTTGACGCACGTCCCTTGTGTCCTTTCCGTAGGGTTTGCAAGTCAATGTGGACAATTACGAATGTTCAATTATCCACTATCACACCCTTCCAATAATTCACTGTATGGCAAGACAATAAAGCGAAAGAAAGAACTTGAGGCTTAAACTAGCACCCTCCCCTGTCTTCTTAATTCAGTTGTACAAGAAGCGGTTTTCTCAGTTTGGTCACGAATTGGAGCGTGGATCAACTTTTAATCCTCGGAAGCTGTTCTACAAGTGATGCGACTAGTTAACCTGTTACACGTCCATGGACCGCTCCAGCAACTTTGTTGATAAAACTGAGAGGCGCTTGACCCTTGGCTGTCACGTTGTGCGCTGTGCTGGAGGTCAACTACTTGTACCGTCGAAAAAGCCTCTGAGTACGGTTTTTTCCGACAGGGAGGAACTAGCAGTACTTGTGTCGGAGAAAACGAAAAAACCACAACGTGGCTTATTCCTCCGATTTGCGAAATACGACTTTGGTCATTCTTGGGACCAGTTTCAAGTAGGTGTCATGTGACACTGGAATTAAAGCTACCTTGTTCGCACACATTAGACAGCATTTTTACCTTGAATAGACGGAAATAAGGACGATATGGAGACATGAGAAAACGGTCCAGGCCCAGCCCGTGGCGAAAATCCGCCTGCGTCATACCCACACGTCGGCTGTTCAGAGTACATCTCGGAAATCAACCAGCTACCAACCAGGAGACGAGGCGAACGAATGACGATGATCTCAGTAGAAGGCCTCCAGTGTCGCAGACCACATTTGCGACAAACATCAGAAGCATTCGTATACCAGCACCATCTAAAGTCTGGACACGACACGGGACAATCCTCAGTAAAACAGAGAATGCGTTAAAAGGCAATATGAACATAGGAGAACAGGAACGCCACGTAATTCGCCTGTTACTTCAGATCATGGCGGTCATCTTTAAGATGAGGTCTTCGCGAACATCCTACAACAGCACACGGCTGTACATTCTATCCTTTCACTAGTGAGAACGTCAATCTCGATTAAGTTTTATCAGGTTGCGGTTTTCAGCGCCCTCGCCCCCCCCCCCCCACACCCAGAAGGAAAAGCAGTCTAGTTTGAATTCAGAGATCAAAACCTTGAGGTCATGAAGTAGGACAGATTTAATCAACACGTTACGCAACTAGGATATATGTATATATAGAGGAAATAATCAAAAATGGCGGCTGCTTCCGTCGGTTCTTCGTTTACAAAATTAGTTTTGTCGTTGTAGAATAAAATTCATATATTCTCACTGAGAATTCTGAGACCGACTAGGAGAGAGGAAGGAGTGAATAGGGGAAGGGGGGAGTGAAAAACGCCGCAGTGTTAACAGGCGCTTTCTTCGGGAAACAGAGCTGAAATGACTGTGCCAGTTGGTAGATTAAAAAGGGGGACCAGAGCGGGAGGGAGCGAAGTGAATGGAGAAACCCGGTACGCATACACGCACAGGCGCGGGTGTGTATCTACATCAAGACAAACATGGTGGTAAGAGGGGAATTTAAAAATCAGTCGTCAGACACCTCTATCCCCACCCTGCCGGGACTGATGGCAGTACTGGGAAGTGGTGCAATTTGAAAGACTACATACATCTTCAGCAACCCCCACACAGGGCAAGGACGCCAACGAGCAGAACAAGAGGGAAGAACGAGGGCGTACAACATTGGAATCTCCGTAGAAGGGAGTGGAATTCAGAAATCCGGTAAGACGCCAGTGTCATCGGAGATAAACTGACCTGAGGTAGAACGGAACGTAGGGATGAGCGGCTGGAATAAACGCACACGAACATCAGAAGCAAAGAGTGGAGGCGCAAAGGAAGACGAGAGCGGACAGCTGGGGGGCAGCAGCTGTGAGAGCACACGTCTTAGGAATTCTGTGCAACTGCACTGGATCGACGTGCAGGCGAAGCAGGCCGAGGATCCTGCAGAAGCTGTGGGCTTCGTTGTAGATCCACCAGATCGCCAGAGGGAGAATGCGTGCCAGTGGTGGAGGGCGAGGGAGAAGAGGAGGTGGTGGTGGTGGGGGAATCCTCAAAGAGGCGCGCGTAGTCGGATATCATGCGCTCCACAACGGCCTGTTCAAATTTAGCCCCCTCAAGACAGCTGGTTGGGTCAGTGAAGGAGGAACTCATGAGGCTGGGAGTGAATACGATGGCTAGGTTCTCCGAAGTCATCATGTTCATCCGGTGGTTTTGGGCGACCCTGAAAGTGTATGAATACGACATTGAGGTTGAATACGCAGTTCCCCATTGGGTAGAACGTGGAAAAATAGGTTAAGAAATTGAAAGAGGATCATACATTTTAAACAACTATGAAACCGTGTTAAATATGGAACAAAAATTGGAATTTGACAGATGCTGCAATGGGGCGGACCTCTGGCGCTCATCACCACAATGGTTGCATATCGGCGCTGAGAGTTAACCTCCTGAACTAACTGGTCAGACTTCCGCTCCCAAATGCAATAAGCACGCGGAGGAGATTCAACTAACAACTAGCCAGTATTAACCCTTTAGAATTTCGTAAAGGCGTAAACATCAATCATCCTTTGTCTAGTTAGACTGGATATCCACTTCCGCGTATTAAGAGCTGACACAGGCATCGATGACATTCTGGCAACAGGGGGTTTATTGACTAAATATCCACTTTCCATTTGCTGTTTTATCCCAGGGGCTAATTTTGACCAACAAAGGAAAATCTCATAGAGCAAAGGAGTTTATCCGCAGCGACCAATGTGTCTAAGTTGTCTTTGACCAAGTTAGACAGCCGAAGAATTGTATGTACATGCTATGCCACGCTTCAGAAACCCATGGCCCTCGCAGCCTGGTGTGCGCTGGTAGTTCTCTGGCGCCTGATTCACGACCGGTGGATGAGTTTGAGCTCCCGGTGGGCATACAGGCCGTGTGCGTGGTTGCTCAATCATCCTCCTTTTTCTGACCTTGCAGTCGGTCCAGTATAAGTGTTTGTGTGGTGGCCGACTGGTGATCTGAGAGTCGGGTTGCAAAGGCTCCTTCATAATGTGGCCTCTATGGTGCGGAGGTACGCCTAGGTGCAGGTTTATACGCCTTATCATCCACCTGCGCCCGCCATCACCCCCCGGATCTTCTTGACTACGCGTCGACATCGGAACCAGGTGGGGGAGGAGAGTGCTGTGGATGCTGCGTAACTATATTACCATTATAAACTAGTTCACAAGCAAGCTACCGTGTCTGCTCTCAGCTTGCTATGGAATACGCGGTGGGCATCGTCGGTCACGACGGTCGGGCTGTCGTAAGTTAGACAGCTAAACATTTCGGAGGAAGGCAGAACGCTAAATTCACAATGGACACATCGAATACATTGATTTTATCGAGAAGAGAGGCGAACTATTGCAAAAAAATAATACAGTAGGTGAGCTAACTTATGAAATGTCAACCGAAATTCCGAAGTGCGTTTTCGCTTCGAAAAGATTAATTAAATAGGGTTGTAAAGCTAATCAGCCTGCAACATAATTCTACAATATTTCAGTTACCCGTTCTGTCGTCACACTTACATTCATGATCTCCAAACTACAAGCCATGTATTTCCTGCGTGCGGAAAACCACACATTCCTCTACGGTATTGAGAGGAGACCATATGGGGTTCATAAAATCTAGCATTGGATTTGATCCGTATTGCTACCTTTATAAGCCACATTGGCAAATGCACAGACATGACGTTTTATGAACAGCCATTTCAGGGTATTTAAAAGTCTAACAATCAGAAACTTTTTTCAAAACCGAATTATGCCCTTCATTCGAGTATAAGAGTGAAAGACGTAATCTTCTACCAAATGAGCGCAAGAATGAACATTTTATGAATGTTTTCCATGAAATATAATACGACTTTTAGGGGCATCGAAAATCAATGAGAGAATGCATGCTACTTAAATAGTCATTTCTTACAGAGTAATGTTTTTTATGCAGCCGGAAGGGAGTTCGAAAGCCGGCATCCTGAGGTAATTGAATTATTGTAGAATTATACGGCAGGCTGATTAGTTTTACAACCCTACTTAATTAATCTTTTCGAAGTGAAAACGCATTTCGGAATTTCAGTTGACATTTCACGAGTTAGCCCACCTACTGTAACTAGCTTGTGAGTGCGCGTGTCTAAATATGCTACTCAAAATGAGTGTCCGACTAAAACACGGAAACCACACCGGCCTGTCCTTCAGCACGGGCTCAAAAGGGATAGGTTCAGAAAAAAGATCATTTAGGCAATACAGTGGGGCACGAACGCTCAGCTGCCCGCAGGAGCCCAGGCAATATGCTTGTTCAGGCAAGGCAAGTAAGATTGCTGTCTTGCCGTGTTAAAATGATCTCACGGCCAGGTCACAGTTACAGCAGGTGATCGAACTCATGAAGTGTCGTGGTCGGAATTTAAGTGAGAAGTATGTCATATATGTGGTATTGTTGTTTATTGAAGTGATTTAAGGCACAGAAAGCCATTTACTTGAGAGGGACTCATTTCAAGTCAGTTTTATTAAAGAAAAACAGGCTAGATACCAGTTGGTTGCCCGGACCCGCATTACAGTTAGCTGGGGGGCTTGTTTACTGGGGTTATTTTGTGGGGCTCCATAATCACATCTGACACATTTGGCTTCCATTTTACGTTTGAGGTTAGGATTAGGATACCGGGTAATGGTTTCCGATTTCCCGGTTAGGGTTATGCCTTTAGGCTTAGGTTTTAGGGTTTGAGCATACGACTAGGTTCCAGTATTACGGTTAGGTTTCTCAGTTACGGCTATGTCTAAGGGCTACGGTTACGTTTACGATTTTGGCTAGGGTTAGGGTTGTCGTTGGGGCTAACGGTTAACGGTAACGGTTGAGGTTAGGGTTAAGGAACCCTGATGGTCATTTGTGGAAGGAACTTCCCAAAAGGGAATACTGCACCGACGACAACATTTAAGAACTGTCGACAGTCAATGGCTTTGGTGCCTATTAAATTCGGAGAGCGGTCAGTCTTGTGGTTGACTACGGACACCATCGACAGCAAGGTGTTCGTCAAAATTGTGAAGGATGTCTTCAGCTGCGACGGCATTGCCTGATGCCCAATGGATGCCATAATTCTACAGGATAATGCTCCTATTCATTGTTCTAGAGAAGCATGAATCTAATAACGTTTTCAACCGTAATCTGACTTTTTAGACAACAACCAGCCTCTCCGAATTTGGCCTCCAGTCGATGTTTATCCCTGCCAACAGCCCGGATCTCAATCCCATCTAAAATCTTCTCGCACTTGTCAGAAGACATTGGCAGAAGACAAGGAAGAATATTTCAATGCAAGAAAAGCTTGATTTTATGCTAGATAATCACACTGAACAATCTGGCCATCTGCACGTCTGAGAGACTTTATGGAAACCAGTGAGAACAAGGGACCGACCAATCCCACAACCTGTAGTCCGCATTCTGAACACAAACTGACCAGTTGCACTTTGGCTGCACTGAGGATGACAGAATGCTGCGAGGTTAGAAACAACCGTCAGTTTAGCTTCTTAAAAGTTATATTTCGGTTACTTCACCTCAGGTAGGTGGATCGGTGCATGAGTGGGAGGCAAAGCGGTTAGCATTTGGATTAGGCCACAGTAATGCACAGTGCACTAAAAGCACTGGACAACGAGGGGGGGGGGCATGCATTAGTAGCGGGAGGCGTTGACTTGACAACTGCCTGTTGCACTTGGCTCAATTATCCCGAGATGGTTTGGCAGGCAACACTGTAACTGTTTACGCGTGGCTGCACGTGTCTACTGCTCTCCTCAAAGACTACTAAAAGCGCCTAATTTTTGGACGCACGTTGGGAGGGGGGTAAGGAGAGGTGTAATTTTGTCAAGACAATCTCTTTCAGTTAGGCGACGTCTTTTCGCAAGCGGACCGAAAAAGCCTCGATGAGACCTGTGAGATCTGCTTCATCGGGGTTGCGTAGATGTAGGAGCAACAGACTGCCGACAACCGAAAGCGTCATTGTCAGCCATAGTTTGGTCTGAACTGGTAGATGAACTGACTTCCTGTAACTACAGCTCGTGGCATGAGGGTGCATAAGGTGCTAATTGGGGGGGGGGGGGGGGGGGGGGTAGTCGCCTTGATGGAGCTGAGGGCCTAGCCGCCAAATGAGGTCATTCCCTTTTGATGCGCCCAGCTCCCGTCCGCGGCCCAACGGAACTGCCGGGCGCAACGGCCATAGTCACTGAAAAGTGAAACCAGGTGAGAGAGAGAGTGAGTGTGTGTGTGTGAGAGAGAGAGAGATTCGTACTCCGCCTGCATGCGGTCGGGGTCTAAGTCGGATGCGTCGACGCAACCGAAACTAGCTAGGCAATTGTGATCGAAGATAGGTGTAGGTTCTTTGTGGTAAACAACGGCTGCAGGACGGATCCTGAGGCTGTGTACAAACGTTTCAAAAGGACAAAATTAATTACTTTAAGTCCAAGCTTCGGAAAATGAATAATCAAAACTGACGGTGTTTGACCGAACCCCTATTTTTTATTTAGGTACAACAGAAAATCGCGAAAATAAAGCAGATCAAGGGAAGCGTGACTGTCGCTGTGACCGGTGTGTGGTTGGATAACCTCTTAGTTGAAGCAGGGATTGTCAGGCGAAGTCCTTGAATAGCAAGGCTGAACACGAACGAAAATCGACGATTTCACCACCGCTGGACTGAATACTTTTGATGACTACTTCTTTCATGGGGATATGGGCTTTGCCAGCAAATGGCGCTATTAATTAGCACGAAGAAACAAAAAGGGAATTTCAGTTTTAGTGGACCAAGTACTCCGTTCCCTACGTTAAAGCAGAGGCATGTTCATGTGTGAATAGAGAGAGCGGTCGTTTTGGTTCAAAATACAATCAACATTAGCGAAATGGGTTAAATATCAGGTCAAGCTTGCAATGTAAGAACTGAGCACTTTTAAACAATAAACAGGCAACGCGCAATTCCTGTCCAACCGCTCAATTGTAAATGCCTCAAACGTTGCTTCAGTGATCTCTGAATGCTCATTAGTACTAATTTGACACCCTTTCCTATAGTTTCTAAAGCGGACTCACGGTCTTGCACCGATATATTATAATAGTACCATGTTTATCTGCCTGTAATACATCCAGTTCCAATATTTCCGGTTTTCGCACAGAATTATTTTTACTTAACACTAACCAACACTATTTTTCTCAGATTTCTCTTCCTAAAAAGGCAAGAGGCACAGGACTTGTGCGAATTTTGCCCTCTAAAGCTCGGCAGGGCAAAGGTCGCGTCGAAGTTCACCGCAGTAAAATAAGGACAAACTGGTTGCGACTCTCCGATGCCGGCATGAGAGAGGAGGGAAAACGGGGAGGGGGGTACCAGGGATAAACTGCGAAGGCGAAGACGGCGCGACAGGACGCACACCGCTATGATTGCCACTCACACCTTCCCAACAAATTCTTCCTTCCCCCTAAGCCGCCTACTAGTTACCAATCCACTACCCCAAAAAACCAAAGGGCAGGTCTTTCGAGGGGGTGGGAAGGGGTGCTGGTCCACACAAAGACAGGGGAAAAGGGGGACAGCGCCAACCCGACCACAGTCAGCCACTTCATTTTGGTTCGGCCAGTCCATCTGCACCAACCGGCCGCGGAAAGCCAACCATAGTTTGGCACTTAACTACCCCAAGCCCGCCCGTCAGCCGTCGGTGAAACTGCAGGCTGGGGCTGATAGGGGAGGGGCAATTAGGCGTGAGTAAAAGGACAATTCGAGCACAAAGAGCGAGGAGATGGAGAGATATAACCACGGGATCTTAGGAGCTGGAGCACAGAGCGTGCCGCGCAGATGAGCGACGGCGCCTCCTGTCTTGTAGATTCCTCTTCTTTCCCCTCAGTAGTAGTTCAGGCGGTCGGACACACGGGAATACGGACACCCCGCGTACTACACGTAGACTTGTGTTAAATTTCGGGGGTTCCCATTCCTGTGTTCTAACGCCAACCCTAACATCAACCCCCATTTGGAATTTAGCGTAAGGTCACATGTAATACGAAAGGTTCATATTCCCACCTCCTACCACTCAGGCCTGTCAGGCTGTTTTTCTGAACGCACCTGTTTTCAGCCCTGACCAGTGTTTTACAGAGCAATCTTCACCGTAGTGCACTTTTCCAAAGCAGGCTCTTAGCTTATGACTCTGACAGAGAGAACGGTGGCATCTGGCGTCTTAGGGGAAAAGCATAGAACAATAAACCAGCATTTGTTCCAGAATCTCCCGCCCGCCCCTGGCGCCATAAATACCTCCGTCGCACGCGACCATAACTCCCACTGCACTGGAGGGCACAGAGTTGTGACTGGAGTGTTAATTTGTTTATTGTAATGCAGACTTGCGCCGCATTTACCTCTCTCTCTCTCTTCCTCTGTCAGCGAGTCAAGACGATTAAAGCTGGGTGTGAGTTGACGAGACGGAATTTAAGACTACGAAGGTCACATACAGGTTGCTGCGGACGCACTAACAGGACTTTAAACAAAAAGGCCTTGAAGTTTCTACTAGGGAAAGCTGCCACACAGACCTCATCAAGGAGTCACCATGGCCTGGACTGAATGAGACCAAGTTATATCAACAGTTGACAGGCTTCAAGTCATGTCTGTTAGCGTATCATGACAGTCAGAAAACGTGTTTGATTATCTATCAGCGAGGGAACTGAGCGCTGGGTCAGGGCTGCAATGACCACATCCTATCCTACCCTTCTCATACTGGCGACAGGTTAGAGAGATGCAGACTAGACATTTGATCGGGTGCAGTGGTTGGTGTGACAAGCTTCCGTCTAATGTGTGCCATACGCCAGCCTCTGGCACTGCATTCCTAGATAAATAGCACAGTCGACCACGATGAGGAGGGCACCTGAAAATTTGTAGGCGGGTGCATTAAAAGAGAACAGAGGACAACGTAACAAGGATTCACCTGTTGAGATGACCCATGAGGTAACGAAGGCTGTGGTAGTGTGCAGGGGGCAACCGTTGGATGGTCTCCCTAAGAAGATGGAGCCTCTCCTCTTCCGAGAGTTCGTCATTGCCTGGACGGTATGAAAGTAAAAAAAAACCTGGCTTAAAAAACCCTGTGACAAGCGGCTCCACTTCGAAAAAGCACAGAGACGAAGTAAGGACGCTGGGGCAAATCCAACGGGGAGAGCGATAAAACTAAAATTAGGTCATGCGCGAAAAGATAGAATCTTTTCATATCCTAAAGCTCCCTGCCATGCACGCTGACGCTGCTGCTACTACTACTACCACTGCCAGGACTGTGTTAATTCTGGGCTTATATTCCGGGCGTCTGAATTATGTATGATGAGGAGGTTTTGAACGCCGTGAAAACGAAATTCGAGAGATGACGGCTACTCCTGGAGGGGCTACTTTCGCATGACAGAAGGTGTAGGGTTGTCTGACTGTGCCCTAGAATGTCTCATACCCCCAGGCATGCGCACGAGGACAGACACGGGCGCAGGCGAGACCTTGCAGTCCGATCTAACAATGTCTTTTCTATTGTGTAAACAAACCGCACAGCGGCCGTTTAGGGTGGCTTCTGACACAGGAGGGGATAACGCGGGCATAAGGTCTGAAAGGGGAATGCAACTGCTTTTGCTTTCTCATCCTGATAAACTAACCTCCGAGGAAGACGGAAACTCTCTGGACCGCGACTGAACAAAGCTCCGTGTAATACCAGGTTTAGTGATGTTGGAAGGTACCCCCAGAACGAGCTGAGGTTAGTAGTGATGGTGCACGTCGGTACTGAAGGTGGGAAACGTTTTCTGCTGCGATTTAGTAACACCGGAAGGAATTGAGGTTATCTGGTAAGCAGAACACGATGTGGCGGCGCAAAGGGTGTCAGGATTGCTTTCGTCAAAATTCCTTCGTTGCTGGAAGGTGAGTGAACGGTGGATTTCACCAAGACGGATATCGATGACACGCCTTGGTATACGACTTACACCAGTGGCCGAGCCTAAACACTTCCAAAGACGACACTTGAAGACGAGTGGGGTCGGTGCAATGTCTGCCACACGGTTCAAACGCAGCTGGACTCGCCCGCTACGTAACAGCGAGTTTTTCAACGTCGGCGGTAACGGACGACGCATTGGCTGTGTCAATGACTGTGTGAGGCGCGGTAAACACCACATCGGTCACGGCGTCTGAGCTTATTTCCAAGCTGGTGTGAAAGGGGGAAGATAAAGTGGAATCAAGTCAGCTCCGATGTAGCGCCCAGTTTCCTCACTATGGGTGTTAAAGAGCGCCTGCTCACTGTCACGGCACAATAACAGCCGCGGTCTGAAAGCCCTCCAACCGATGATGTACTTCAGTCTTACCCGGGACTGAGGATCAGATTGTGGTGGCCTTTATGAAACTATAACTCCTGGGTGATCCGAGACACGTACAGAGTTAGGGACGCGTCGGGGGAGCTTAAACCTTGACATGTGTGTCCTTAGTGTCTTGTCACCAGTACCATGCAGGGATAGGGATAAAGAGCGAGATAAATACCACACAAGTCCGCTTCAACATAAAAACCTGATGCGCAAGGCATCACTGTGTCCGTTCATGGGCAGTAACGATCTTTATTGATGGCCAATAGCGAAAAACTACTCTCATATGTCCCTTTCTTTATTCTGTAAATAACAGCCCTACTATCTTATCAGCCGGATGCTGTGAGAACCTGCAGCAACTGGATTATTCCCTTTCGACAAGGTTACTTCCATGGTTCAAGTAACAGTTTTGACTTCTGTCGAGCCCGAGTTTGGAAATGTTTTTCTGAAAGGGATTCACCGAAGGTCACAGACCAGTGAAAAATGATTAAGAAACAGTTGAAAAATGCCGGCTATGAGGCATACCGATTATCCAAAAAGACTAAAAAAAGAGGGAGGAGGCTGCAGAAACTAACAAAAGCAAAGGCTTGATTGAATTCACGAGTAATTGTCTTTAGTCAGGAGAATACGACTTACGGACAGCCTCGATAAATTCGGGATAGGTCTCGTAGGTGATCAGAGGAATGGGCAGTTGTCGAAGAAAAGATTTGATCAGACTAGTGATCGTATTTGGATCTGGGCACCGTTTCTCGGAGAGATCAACGCCTTCGCAGTCTGCGAGACGGGGAGTGAAAAGGAGACATTTTCAGTGATGAAATAGAACACACGACTTGTGCATTTCAGGAATAAGCTTATCAAGGTCGAACGGTGCAATCTCTGCATGTACAGTAGTTAACGCAGTTGGACGAAATAGCCCCGTACTGTATATGGCCTTGCGCGAAATTCTAAGGGGTAACTATTCCCATGTCTAAACTTTGACCGCAACCCTAATACTGACCCACCTATATCCCTAAGCTTTCCTCCCCTGGAACTTAGCGCGACGCTACCTGTAATATTTAGGGGACATTTATTCCCGTGTCCTACAGGTAACGAAGCCTATGAAGTATGGTATGCGAACTGCTGAAAGTCGAATGAGGATGAGCGGGGGCGTCACGATAGTTACAGCAAATGGCCTAACACTTGAAACGTCGTGATCAAAATTTGAGTGGGTAGGATGGAATACATTTGGTGTTACTACTTTTGCTTGTTGCATTGAATTGAAGCGCAGAAGGCTGTTTGCCAGAAAAATTTATTGCAAATCTGTTTTAAGAAAGGAAACAAGGACAAATTAGGGAGAAATCCGACGTTTCTTGATATCTAGGCAATTTCTCACGCTACTGAATGTAACAGGAAAAAACCTCTTGTTTATGCACGTTGAGCTATAAAAGGACATTAATAGAAGCAGGAAACGTTTGACATAAATCAACCTGAAAACGGAAAATCGGACTTTGTATTGATGAAAATCAAGTAACGGCAAGTGCGGGGAACCGCATTATTTTCAAGAGATGGGGGCCAATTTCGGTACAAAGTCTGTTTTTCAAATTTGCGGCGTCTTGTGTCATAAAATGTGCTATAAACTTGTTTGACAGTCGTTTGTCTTACGACACTGAGAATTACTAGGCGTAAACAAATATATATTTAGCATTCGCGAGATGCTGTCACTGTTCTGTGTGACGTCGTTCGTGCGATAAAGATGTCAAAACCGTTTCAATCTGCAGTGGACTACAAACGGATACGGAAATTAGTAGCGGAAGGGTTGCGGTTTGAGTCGACAACACGTGTTTTCAATTTTAGTAAGGTCACTCTGTGGTGGATTACTAATGACAAAGCCGTGCCGAGAAATAAGCAGGCTGGATCAAAGACGGTCCACAAGAAACCAAGATGATTTTATCCGTCATACACGAAAAAGCATCGGTAAGATGTGGTTATGTAGCCCCGCCTGATGGACACAATACTGTTAGGGTTGGGGTAAGAGTTAAGGCAACTATTTCTCAACCACTCAAAGCACAACCGCGCATTCCAAATAGCTTTTCTTTTGCATACAACTACTTGACCTCGTCGCCTGTGCGTTCCCCGGCCCCACATGCAAAATCCCCTATTACCACCGGTCCCGTATTACAGGTGGCGGGGGTTCGTTTACTTCAAGTGGGGCTACATAACCACATCTGACCGAAGTATCATTATAGGAACAGGGACATCAGCCGATGTCCTCTATGAACATAATTAGGAAAATGAAGGAGGAATTCGAAC